GGGGGAGCTGATGGCCATGAAGGTGTGTGCTGGGGGGGAGCTGATGGCCATGAAGGTGCGTGCTCGGGGGAGCTCATGGTCATGAAGGTATGTGCTCAGGGGGGCTGATGGCCATGAAAGTGCGTGCTTGGGGGTGCTGATGGCCATGAAGGTGCGTGCTCGGGGGGGCTGATGGCCATGAAGGTGCATGCTCGGGGGAGCTGATGGTCATGAAGGTGAGTGCTCGGGGGGCTGATGGCCATGAAGGTGCATGCTCTGGGGGGCTGATGGTCATGAAGGTTTGTGCTCAGGGAAGCTCGGGGAGAGTCGGGGAGGGGGGTCTTCAGCAGTACGATCAGAGGCCGCTGGGCACAGGCCAGCTGCTAGGGAGGAGTTGACCCTTCCTGTTGTTACTCCTGCCGACAGGATGTTTTCAGTATGTCTGGGGGTCATTCAGGCTGCACATTTCTCAGGTGGGATTTCTTGGGGCCCAGCTTCAGAACCACATCATTCTCTGAGAGAAGCCAGGTCAGACCGCTACATGATGGAGTAAGTCTCTGTCCACCTGAGGTGACCCAATGCTGGCACCAGGCCCCCTCGGGTTGCTACTGTTAACTTGAGGCAGGGGGAGAACAGGGAGACCAGCTGCAGGACTCAGCGGAGAGCCCTGGCCTCCAGGCACTGGTCCCCTGGTCCACACTGGAGCCCATTCAGGCCACAGCCCCCTCCAGCAAAGTCTGCAGGGCTGTGGTATTGGTGGTTCCCGATCAGACCTGCACGTCGCTGCTGGAGAGTTACCTGCTGGCAATTCTAGAGTGAGGGGAGCTTTCCTGGAAAGCAGGTGCCCCTCATTGTTAAGTGGTGAAACTGCCATCCCAGCAGCAGGACACGCTCCACATGTTTCTGAAGGGGAGGCCATAGCCCCTCACCTGCCACCCGCTCTCAGATGGCAGCTGGGGTGTAATCACAGCTGTCCTATTTGTCTCTGATTCCTGGCACAAGGCTTCAAAAACCTCAGCATGTCTTAACTGATAGGAATGTTTTTGTTATGCTGAGGAGGTGACTCCGGGTAGGCCCCTTGATAGCTTCAGGATGTGGCCTGGTCACCAGAGGGACCCAGTCCATGACAGAAGGTTGGGACTTCCAGCCACCTGATGCCCAGGAAGGGGAGGAAAGACAGAGCTTGAATCCATCATGTAGCCCATGATTTAATCAGTTGTGCCTGTGTGATGAGACCACAATAAAAACCCTGACACTCAGAAAACCTTCCCAGTTGGTGGACATAGTGATGTACCAGGAGGGTGATGTGGCCTGACTCAGTGCAGGGAGCACACAGGGCTCTGCGTTCAGGACTCCGTCGGAATTCCCTGTGCATGCTTGTAATAAAACTGTGATCATTAGCAGAGTACTCTCCTTGGTTCCACAGGATGTCCTAGTGAAGCCCGAGGAAGTTGTGGGTCCCCCCAAATTTGCAGGCAGACAGTCGTGCAGATGGCCTGACATCTCTCCCACAGCAGGCACATGGCAGTGCGTGCCGTGAGGGCAGCCTTTGGGGTCTGTGCTGACTCCGTGTGGTTAGGGTCAGGTTGTTCTGCAGCCCACCCGCTGGTAGAAGCAGAATAACAGCCATGGGGACACAAGTCCCTGTCACTGCAGACCCACAGCAGGGGTGGGAACTTGCCTGGGGCTGCTCCTACAGGTCCTGGGTTGACATAGAGCTTGGCTGCCAGGCCCTGCTGGTGTGGCAAGTTGGGGGCTAAACGCCGTATTCCCAAACCTGCTTCCCAAATTTGGCTGTCCAGCAAGCCAAGGCCTGATTCTACCACGCCTCTGGCTCCCAGGAATCGAGATGCGAGGGAGGTGCTCCTAAGGGTGGAAGGTGCGTCCCACGCAGGACCCAGAGGCAAGTGTGGCAGGCCAGGGTGGATTGTGGTGGTGTTGAGCTAATAGCTGATAACAGGTCTCCCCTGTTGAGATCAATGCTGTCCTCAGAGAAAAACTGTTCTGGTCACAGCGAGAAGTGCTATCACCCATGGTCATCCCAATGCACCCAGGGGCAACTTGGTGACCACGTGCCTGTCCTTGGGGGCTGCTTGAGCTTGGGTCTGGGTGCAGTCGGGGAAGATGCTGGCAGTGGTACCAGCGCAGGAATCGCACCTCCTCCCCAAGCCCAGTCGTTTCCATACTTGCTCCTCTTCCTCCTCCCACTGAGCTCAGACCTCAGCCTCTCTCCAGAGAAGCCTCACTGCTCTTTGGCTGATTTCTCCTCTCATCACTTACATGCCAACCTTTGGGTCCAGATCACAGTGACTCCCCCCCACCCCGCCCATCAGGAGGCCTTTGTGCAGACCTGGTAGCAGGAGCTCTAGGCTGCCTTTCCTTTATGATTCCAAACGTCATACTTCCTTTGGCTAAAGACTGAGGTTTTCCTTCTTATACTCTGGCCAGTGTGGTACAATCGGTTCCGTGGTATTCTGACGAGGAAAGATACTTTTGTTGGAATAAAAGCTCTAATATTACCTTTGCCACTTAAAAATAAAATATGTATTTATCTTAGAAATGTTCTAAAAACATTAAAGCTGGGAGAGAAATAATCTGTAATGACATGATTCAGGGGCAGCCACTGCTGCGTTCCGGCTCGGCCCCCGTCCTGTGGATTTCCTGACACCACACATCAGAGTCCTTTCCTCTTTCTGTGAGTCCCTCCCGGGATGTTGGGGATGTGCGCTCCCGTGCCACATCCACTATCCAGCAGAGCACATCGGATGGCACTGTTTTGTTCTAGGACACAACTGCTGAGAAACTGAACTTTCTAGCATGTTTTCATTCCTTTTATGTCATTTTAATGAGCACCTTTTTATTTCTAGATGGCCTAATCGGTTCTTTTCCAAATCTACTCTTCTTTTTTAATGTCCTATCCTCTCATTATGACTCTTGTTCCTTTATCTGTTTGTATTAGATTTTTGTTTTCTAACTTTTCACATTGTTATTTCTGGTTTTTTGTTGGTTTTTTTTTTTTTTTTTTTTGAGACACAGTCTTACTTTGTTGCCCTGTGTCGAGTGCAGTGGCATCATCATAGCTCACAGCAGCCTCAAACTCCTGGGCTCAAGTGATCCTTTGGCTCAACCTCCCGAGTAGCTGGGACTATAGGTATGTTCCACCATGCCCAGATATTTTTGGTAGAGATGGGAGCCTTGCTCTTGCTCAGGCTGGTTTCAAACTCCTGAGCTCAAGCAATCCACCAGTCTTAGCCTCCTAGAGTGCTGGGATTACGGATGTGAGCTGCCGTGCCCGGCCTCAGCTTCTAGTGTATGCTGATTGTCACTTTGGGCGGCATCTGCTGATTCTGCGTCAGAGCTGTTCCTTTTCATTTCCTTAGTATAGGGCCGGGGGGCGGAGGGTGCGAGTTCCGGCTCATCGTCCGTGGAGGTGGTTTCCCACGGATCCTGGGTTGCAGATGCCCCTACGGGGTGGGTCTTGTCCTGTTTAGGCCTGTTGGGACTGAGGGGTAGAACGAATATTTGTTACATTCTTTGCGTAGGCTTCCTGTACCACACCTACCCATGACTCAGGTTTGAGGTTTGATTCCTCAAAAGAGATTTTTCTTTCTTTTCCTATCCCAAGTCTGAGAGATGACAAGTTTCCTTGCCACATCTCCAGAAAGGAAGTTTTCCAGTCTCTTATTCTTGGCAGTACTTTGAGAGCCCCACTCATGGGGCTGAGGCCCTGCCCCTGCACACACATTAAGCTCCCAGATCTCAGGACCTGCAGACTGGCCGTCGCCTCTGCCAGCCGGCGTCCTGTCCGTCTTGCCGGTCCCCTCTGGCTGAGTTCCCTCTTCATTTCTGGCACCTGTGGATGTATGTTTGTTCTGGAAGCAACTGTCCACATTAGCTCAGTGTTACCAGGATCTTGCTTCTAATGGCAAAAGATGAGAAGCCTTCTGGGTATGGAAACACATTTCATTCCGGTTTCATGTCTGAGCTTCAGGAGAAAGAAGGTTTAGTATATTGTTCTGAGTAGTCACTGAGCACACTGACTAATGTCCGCTGGACCTGAGTTGGACGAGCCTTGCTGGGTCCCTCTAGCTGTTTCCCCACCTTGGAGGGTGGGAACATCTGCCCCTCACTGACTCCCCCAGGAGGGCGCACCAGGCCTGCAGCCTGTTACCTCAGAGAATGGTCACATCAGGGGTGTTGGTGAGCCCATCTCAGGCTAGTGACTCAGCTTTATGAGGGAACCTTTTCAAGTAAGGGGTCATAGAGGTCATAAGGTGGCTGGGCCCAGTGGTCACATGGTGGTGGACTCCCCCCTCCCTTGGCAGCTATGAGGGGACAAGAGCCACGGGTGGGCTCTTCTTGATGGGCAGGAGGCTGTCCAGCTCCGCCAGGAAGCCTGGGTTCGACCCTGGCTCCAACCTTTACCTAGAAGCCATGGGCAGGGGATTCTCCCTGTGTGCCTCAGTTTCCCATCAGTGGAGGTACTCATGATACCTAGTTCAGGTGGGAGGATTAAATGGGTTACTTCAGGTGAACACTTGAACTCTCACATGCTTGATAAAGGCTGGTGGCTGTCATTGTTAGCTGGCTTCTGGCCCCAGGATGGTATTGTCCCATCTGGGGTTCATGTTCAACTTTCCATGGACAACTGTTACTTGAATTATTTAATATACTTTTAGAAGGTATCTGATGAGTAGTCGCTGGTGAAGACTCTGTTGATTCGGTTGGGCCCTCAGAGCAGGCAGGACTGGAGGGAGCTGCTGTGGGTAATCCCACCTGCCGGCCCAGCTGCAGGTGGCAGTGCCATCCGGGACACATGGGGATTGGGAGGGGTGTAGTCAGGCCCAGCCTTCCTCGCATGGGTAACTGACTCTCCTTTATGGCATCTGGCTAACACAGCTCAGCTTCCACGTGCCAGAGAATTGATTTTCAACAAGGCAAAGTGTGCCCACTGGAGGGTTCTAGTTATTACAGAGGTTTTCCTTACATTGAACCACAACCTGCTGACCTGTGGCTTCTACCCATGTGTCTCAGTGCTGGTCTGTCCAGTGACAGCACACGGCCGTGTCCCCACATCAGTCCTTCACATGTGTGGCGACAGCTGTCGTGTCTCCTCCTGGTCATCACACCTTAGCACTGAGGTTATGACTCCCTCGACAGTCTGAGGTTATAGCCAGGGCTCCCTTCTTACTCACCAGCATGGCAGCAGCCAGCCCTGCTCTCAGCTCACGGGGCCTCATCAGCTCTCTGCCCTTTGCTCTGCAGGAGGAGATGGCCGAGCTGAAGGCCCAGCTCTACCTGCTGGAGAAAGAGAAGAAGGCTCTGGAGCTGAAGCTGAGCACGCGGGAGGCCCAGGAGCAGGCCTACCTGGTGCACATCGAGCACCTCAAGTCCGAGGTGGAGGAGCAGAAGGAGCAGCGCACACGGTCCCTCAGCTCCACCAGCAGCGGCGGCAAGGACAAGCCCAGCAAGGTAGGGCTGGCGGCGAGGGGGACGCCCTGGGCTCAGGCCTCACTCACTTCTGCCCCATGACCTCTGGCCACTCCTTGCAGCCCTGCTGCCTCCATCTCTTATAGTTGCATAGGAACTGCAGGTCATCCATCAAAGAAGAAGGTAGCATTCTGAATGTTAAGAAAACCAATCCACATTTTTAAAAAGCTAGATCTCAGCAGTGCCTGCAGCTCAGTGGGTAGGGCGCCAGCCCCATATACCAAGGGTGTCAGATCCAAACCTAGCCCCGGTCAAACTGCAACAACAAAAATAGCCAGGCATTGTGGTGGGTGCCTATAGTCCCAGCTAATTAGGAGGCTGAGGCAAAAGAATTGCCTAAACCCAGGAGCTGGAGGTTGCTAAGAGCTGTGTGATGCCACGGCACTCTACCAAGGGCAATTAAAAAAAAAAAAAAAGCTAGTTCTCACTTTGTGTGATAGTTAAGCTGTGTTCACATATCATGATCCTATCTGATGCAGGCCTCACCCCCTCCTAAACCCCTTTCCCACAGCATTGATAGGCATGTAGTCCCCACTTATCCATGGGGGACATGCTGTGAGACCCCCAAGGGTACTTGGAACCACAGACAGTACTGAGCCTGTGTATTCCTGTTGTTTCCTGTACACATATACTTATGATAAAAGTTCATAAATCAGGCACAGCAAGAGAATAACAGCAATGGCTGGTAATAGACCAATTATGACAACATGTCAGCTCTGCTACTCCTGGGCTTTGGGGTCATTGTTACAGAAAATAAGGACTACTTGAACACAGCATGCAGTAGCGTGACTGCTGGTCTGGTAGCCACAGTGACTACTAAGTGACAAATGGTGGGAAATGTAGACAAAGGGAGGACTCACTTCTCAAGTGGGACGGAGTGAGACAGTGCAAGATTCATCACACTGCACAGAAACAACGCACAAAACTTCTGAATGGTTTATTTCTGGAATGTTGCATTTTATATTTTTGGAGAATGGTTGAGCACGGGTAACAGACTCTAGAAAGCAGCTGCAGATAAGGGGCACCCAGGAACAGGATGTGCAGGAGACTCGAGGCTCCCAGGAAGCCAGAGTTCTCCAAGTGATAAACGGCAGGGTCGGGATTTAACCAGATGTGACTGGTCGGCTCTCTTCCTCCCATGTGCACCCCCCTCCCCCCACCCCCCGACTTCTGTGGGCATTTCTGCTGTCAAGGATGTGGCGTAGGGAGAGGTCAAAGGCAGAGGAGACGGAAGGCAAGTCTTGCCTTGGGAAGCCTGTGTCACCAGAGCATGGGCTGTCTGGTGGCAGAATTTTGCAAACTCACACTCCTACCCAGCTCCAAAGTCTTTTATTTATCTATTTATTTATTTACTTACTTATTTGCAATTTTCAGCCGGGGCTGCATTGGAAGGGGGGAAAACCCTCTAGAACCTAAAGAATTGTGTCCCCATCTGAGGGTTCTCTACACTCTGTATATCCATTTTTCTGTCCCTAATAAATGCAGGTTCTCTAACCCTGGTTAATGTCAGTCCCAGGATGTGTGAGCATATGCTGAGTTGCTGACCCATGAAGTAGCTTCTTGTAGCATAAGTGCAAGGTGTCTCTGGGAGAGTTGTGTCCCTAGGAAGAAAAGAACAGTGTCAATGCTGTGTCGCAGTGAGCTGTTACTCCCTAAAAGGCCAAGAACTGGTGGCTTTACAGATGGCCACAGCTACACCTCCCCCACCCCCACCTGCTAAAGAGCAAGTGGCCCCAGCCAGGCCAGTGTTTCATCTGTCCACAGTTGGTGGCTGTGATTTGGATTTCACAGCATGCTGGGACCAAGGCAACGTGCTGCAGTCAGCTCCATAGGGCACAAAGTCTGTCCTCCAGGAATTTAACATCTGTAAATCTGATGAGCAGGTGATCCCAGTACACTGATATAATGTCCCACATGCCATGGTAGAGGCTACAAGTTGGATACAGAACTCAGACTTGGAGATGCAGGATAGGTTTTCTGGAAGAAATGAACTTCTGAGACCCAGTGGAGAGTGGGAGCCAGTCTGCTGAGGAGGGGCAGGGCAGAGGGCCAGGGACAGGAGGAGCCCCTCCAGGCCAGTGGGGCAGCACACGCAAAGGCCCAGAGGGGAGTGGAGGAACTGCATCAGCTAGTGTGAGCCTGGGGATAGGGAGAAATCATGATGGGTTGTCAGCAGGGCGTGACATGGTGGGGATGGGCTCCAGAGAAGTCACAGTGACAAGTACACTATGAAACCATCCCCCTGAGGCTTGAGGACGGTGTTCTGAGGCCGGCCACATGGTACTGTTTCAGATGGTAGCATCTGGGGCTCAGGAAGATGATATTTTCAGGTCTACACAGACACTTTAAAATCTCTTTTTTGCCATTTGAGCTTGTTAGCAGTCAACTGGGGACAGAGCCTGAGGGACAGAGCCCCAGTGTCTGTGCGTGTGTTCTTAGGGTGTGGTGGATGTAGGTTTCCCACATTCTTGCCAGAAGGCCCATGAACTGAGCCTTCTCCGAGTCTCGGTATTTACTTTGACTGGGAGAAGCGTTGTATTTTTGGAGTGGCTTAAAAGTATGGAAATTTCTCTGATGGAAAAGGCCAGCGGATTTTTTTTCACATTACAGTAAGAAGCTTCATAAGAGTAGCCTGTGTTGGCTCGGCGCCTGTGGCTCAACCGGCTAAGGCGCCAGCCACTTACACCTAAGGTGGCGGGTTCGAATCCCCAGCCCGGACCCGCCAAACAACAATGACGGCTGCAACCAAAAAATAG